GAGTATTAACCGGCCCAAAGGAAGGAGAGTACTCATTAAATTTACTTGTGTTATCGCGGTAATAAACGTGTGATGATTATTCGGTTATACATGTGAACAATAACTCGGCCCTGATATGGGATATTATATACACAAGGCTAAACCGGTCCGCCGAACCGGTTTAGAGGGTCATACTATGAAGGAATCGAGCCAGGCGAGGAGAAGATCGAGCAAAATAACTTGTCGACCAGTCAAACAAGTCGACCAACCCATTGCTCGACCAAACAAACGATCGAGCAATCCTATCGACCTCAGAAGGTCGAGAACGCTCAACAGATCGGCCTAGTCACAGGCGCGTGTAAGAGCTTCCAGCTGAATTCCAGGAGAATATTTACCCCATGTGCAGGAGGACACGTGTCGAGAATGTATTGGGTGATAGCGATAACCACCTCTGACAGCTCCCAACGCCTTGCACCACCTCTGACATGTGCGCGGCGTGTCAGAGTACTGACGGGCAGCTTGGGCAGCCAACTCATCCTTATCTAGCCAGCTATTAGGGCAGGTATCTCACCCCTATATAAAGGGGGTGAGCCTTTCTCCTTTAGACACATTCTATTCATTCTTCACTTCAGTATACTCATACACATACTGACTTAAGCATCGGAGGCTCTTCACCGGACACAACCCCCGGTGTAAATCAACATTCAATTGTTTCCATTTGCAAGATCGAAGTGTCACTCTTCGATTATATCAATCAATCAAACAAGATTTCATCAATGCCGAATTTATACAACTCACATAAGCATGAACGAATCAAGCCCGACAAATACATGTTGAACAAGAATAATCATCCCCTATCCCTAGCAATCAGAATTAGCTACATAAATTGAATTCAACACAATCAAGCATCTCACCTTAAATAATCATTCACATGAATTAAATAAGATGAAGAATAATTATAATCAATTCAATCCAAGATTTGAATCCAAATTACAAAGCTTAATCCTTGAAAACTAATAAGGGAAGAAGAAAAGTTACTTGCAGGTTTCGTCGTTCTAACGGCGAGGACAAAGATCGATTCACTCCAAACAGGACCAGGACGCTTACACTTGCATTATTGGCGCCGTATGTGGGACAATTTCGTTAAAAAGTTGTGTTTGAAGCTCAGCTATGGCGGACGGAATTCCCAAAAACTTGCAGTCAACGTTCGATGAAGCTTGGACGACGACCAGACCATTGGGGCACGGCCCTCCTCCGGGTTTTTCCGGCCCATCGCAGACACCGATCACTACGACGCCTATCCTTCAAGGTGGGGGAGTGACGACGGCTATCCCCGGAGGAGATACCGGCCCCGGTCGGGCCCAGGAGGCTCGTGCAGTAGGTGCGGCGGCGATGCCACCGCCACTGCCACCAAATCCAACGATGGTGCAAGGAGGAGCGATGGCGCAGGGAGGAGCGCCACCACAGGCAGTTGCACAAGCCCCTGGTCAACAAATGGTGACGATGACCCGAGAGGAGATGCAGAGGATAGCGGCGGCCGCGACGGCGTAGGTGGTGCAGCAGGTTACGAGCCACACGTCTCATGCCACCACTGCGCCGACCACGGTGGCCGGAAACCAAGATGAGGATGTATCCAGTTATGGAGAGGGAGGAGTTGGAAGAGATCGGGCGATGGAGAGGATGGCGGAGCAGTTGCGCCAGTTGCAGGACAGGGTGGAGGGAAGGCCAGAAAGGAGAGCTCGGGGACATCCTTTTTC